TTGAAGAGGGGGTTCGGGGGTTGGTTTTGGGGGTGGGGGTGTGTGTGGGTGGGGGGGGGGGGGGTTCATCTGATACCTCATCTAAATGCTCTACAAAATCGAGCATCATACGTTTCGATGGCTGTTGTGAGTCTTGTGACACTTGAAAAGATTTAAACAGTAAGTAGCTTAAACTTACAAAAGCCTCATGCCGTGCTGCCTAGTTGATGAATGTGCTATTTGTTTATGTTATGCTATCATAACTGTGCATCTCTGCAACTGTCAATTTAACTCAGATCGTTGTAACATTGTTTTGGCAGACTGTTGTTCTCAAGGTTGGCATGTCATGCCAAGGCTGTGTAGGGGCTGTAAAAAGGGTGTTGGGGAAAATGGAAGGTAAACAGCTGTACTAGATTCTTAGCGCTTTACAACATTTAACTTACTAGCCTCCTGTGTAAGATTGCCATGATAAGATCAGTTTTAAGATTATTCCTTATTAGTAGCAGAATATATTGCTCCCACAGTTTCATTCTATATTACCCGGTTCCCAAGAAAATGATACCTTCCTTCCTATATTTAGGAACTCTGAGACTTTAAACTCCCTATTCTACACTTAATGACATGCTCGTATGATCATTGAAATGTCATGATGTCATGGCACGTTTAAAACCATAAGTTCTGAGGGTATAGTATGTGTCAAAGTCTTTATTTATTTCTTGAACTTTGTGCTCGGTCAAACACTTTCATATAAGATGAAACAAGGGACTAAGATGTTTCTTCGGATTCTCTATTAACTGATTACATCATAGCATTACTTTTGTCATATGGACGCTTTCTATTGTGTATTCTCTCATGCACTGCTGCAAAGGTCACATAACACATGCTTGCCTGCTTCTTATTGTATGGGAAAAGTTATCTTGTCATATCTGCATATCTCTGAAAAAACATCAGCTCTGGTTGGTTCATCCATCTTTGCGTAAACTATGAAATTGTTGTTTGCAGTCTATTCTATTATGCTCCTCTATAGTCCTCGTCATCTTTCTCACTCTACCACATGTAGTTGACTGTACAATTAACGGTGAGAATAGCTTCAGTCAGTCACCCTACACCATATGCCAAACATTCCTTCTTTTGACTCCTAACTCAATCACCGATCGGAATCTTCTCCATTCTGCTAAATGGCTTTATCAAGAAGCCTGAGATTATTGTGTAGCATTATGCATGACTAAAGAACGAGAGCTTGAGTCGCTTATTTGCTTATAGTCTCATAACAGATAAATATCAGTAAAATACCGATTCATGTTTTCTTTATAAACCATCTTCAGGTGTAGAAAACTTTGACATTGATCTGAAGGAGCAAAAAGTGACAGTTAAGGGCAATGTTCAACCAGAAGCTGTTCTCCAGACCGTTTCAAAGACTGGAAAGCCAACATCTTTCTGGGAAGCAGGGGAACCGGCTCCAACTGAAGAAAAGCCTACAGAAGCTGTTGGTACAGCTTGATGGTGTCTAATGACCTGGAATTGTATGTTAAGGCTTGAGCTTTATACGACTTTATCAAGATTTCTTCTGTGTATTATGAGGCTTTAACAGTTATAATCTAAAATTGCAATAAGTTCTTGAGCATTTGGCGTTGTTTTCTATGATATAGATAGCAAGTGCATTGATTTATCTTTCGAGTTAAACATGTGAGAAAACCAAATGTAGGTGCTTGTAAGAGAAATCGAAGGAAAAGCAAGGTGATCTTATCGATAACTGTAATTGGGTGTTTGAATAATCTGTTAAGCAATTTGAGAAAACAAATTTGTTAGGAATTTAATGCAAGTACCTTAAAAAAATGCTCTTCCTTTAGGTATATGATGGAACCTCCAGCTTCCCTGCATTGGTTTAACGATTGGATTCCTTGTTTAGTTATCTCTGTTAAGGGAAAATGTTCCAAGGTTTCATTCTTGATTGAAACACCCATAACCAAATTCACATGATCATACAACAAAATTATACGCTTCAATCTATAGCAAGTCGTGATAGATTATTTGAAAACTCACTTCTATATCGAGAGGATTCATCATAAATTTACTAGTTTTATGCTGACTGTCAACTCACTATAACCTTCCTCTTTTATCCATGCTTGGGAGCGACAGTGTGAGCTAACTCCCAAGGGCAGAATTAAATCATTCTCATTATCATATCTCTGGTAAATTATCCAAGTCTCATAGCAAATGATTCTGATTACAGTGTAATTACCAAATACCAGATGACCAGTACTTGTATGTCTTAGAAATGAGAAACTATAGTAATCCTCATTTCAATAGTCAAGGTTGTATATGATTTTTTTAATAACCGTGGCGTAATCAACTTGGTGTACGCTTCTACTAGCTGCTGCTACGTATCATCAGTACAGTCGGATAACTCTGTGCACAAAAGTTTAGGTAGATGAGAATAGATGCGGATTTACAATTTGAAGTTTTTGGGTTCCTTTACCTCAAGTTAAAATATAACGAATAATTGGGTTTATAGTCAAATATTTATAGATATTTTGTGGATCTCATAAAAGATATGTAGGGTTTCGGCAAAAGCTACTAGGTTCACGTGAACCCATAGGTTACAAGTCACATTTTTGGTTGACCAATTTCAAATTAATAGCGAAGAGGACGATTATTTTTATAAAGGGTGTTAATTTTCTTATGGGAGAGCTTAGATGGACAGCCAAAAATACAGCTCTGCAGAATAAGGAATATATCTTCTTTGGCAGTACTTAATTAATCTTCTTTGACACAAGCTTTTTTTACGTAGCAGAGAGCAGGTTTCCTCCTTTTATACAATAGGAAATGGAGTTCGTGGTATAAGTTATCAGGAAATACTTAAATTAGATGTGGAAAAAAAAAAGTCAGACTTTTTACAACTTATAATAAGGAGTTGACATTCAATATCTGTACCAGAAAAAGAACATAGTGGCTACCAACTAACTAATCAAATAAACAAGCAAATTTGACCTTCAAATGGAATTTGTTTATCCATTAAGAAATTTACTAAGTAATTTTTTGGTTCTAAAAGAATGAGAGTTTGAACTCATGAAATACAATTTGCCTATAGATTTTGCATTGTGACTCAAGTTTTCCAGAACCAAGAATCTCCTGCTTTTCTGCCAACATCTATTTTTACCTCATTAAATTTGATAATTCGTTAAAAAATAATCAATTTCCGTTCAGGTAAACTACAGTAAATCAATTCAGATTCTTGGTTATCGATCATCTCAGATTCCCTATGAGCACTATTGTACTGTCATTCGACGAAGGAAAAAATACTATCAACTTATACTTTTCATGGATATAATAAAGTGGTAGCTGTTGAACTCTTCAAAATTCATAGAAACTAAAGAAAACTTCAACCTTTGCAGTTAGTATTACAGGCAATCATGTTGTGTTTTAATATTGACATAAGATTCCTTCATTACGTGCTGGAAGTAGATACAAGGCATATTGCAAACTATAAATACTCCGCGGTGTACATAAATTATACATCACCTGTTTAAGCTATAGTGGCTAGCTATTCTTGAGCCACAAAAGAATGGATTCAAAGGGCTACAATTGTTCAGTCATTGCACTTGTTTCTTGCCTGGTTTTATCCTTTTCAGTCTCTTCTTTGGCCAAAAAACAACCACATTGTCCACTTAAAGTAGGTTTCTATCAACATACATGTCCCTCTGCTGAATCCATTGTGAGAAATGTTGTGAACAAAGCCGTTTCTCGTAATCCAGGCATTGCTGCTGGTCTTATCAGGCTACATTTTCATGACTGCTTTGTGAGGGTATGTTATGTCCTTTTGTCTAATATGCTAGTGTTCTCTTAACAATTTCATTATTTCATTACTCTTTTTTGCATGTTGAACTGTGTGACCATTTCATCTAAACTCATAAAGAGAGCACAATTCTAATTACCTTATTATATTATGTCTCAACACGCCCCACACGTGGGAGCCTGATTAGTTTTTACGGACTAAATATGCGGAAATACTTTTTGATTTTTCGGTGGTGGTGAGATTTGAACTCAAAATCTCGACTTGCTCTGTTACCATATTGAATTGTGTGATCGTCCCATTAAGCCTTTAAATGAGGTTGTCACATAGTTCAACAAGTGCAACGCTTGATAATTTCGTTAACTTAATATTGTTTTCTGCAATTTATGTACTTTAGGGATGTGATGCATCTGTGCTATTGGATGGACCAAATTCAGAAAAGGAAAGCGTAGCGAATAAGAACAGTTTACGAGGTTTTGAGGTGATTGATGCAGCTAAAGCTAAGCTTGAGGCTGCATGCCCTGGAACTGTCTCGTGTGCAGACATTCTCGCCTTCGCTGCTCGTGACAGTTCTTACAAAGTTGGGAAAATAAACTATGATGTCCAAGCAGGACGTCGTGATGGACGCGTTTCTATCAAGGACGAGGCTTTACCTAATCTTCCATCTCCATTTGTGGGTGTCAAGGAACTGATCAAGAGCTTTGCAAGAAAAGGGATGTCGGTTGATGAAATGGTCACCCTCTCTGGTGCACATTCTATTGGTATTGCTCATTGCGCTGTTTTCGCAAATCGGCTATACCCTCAAAACAAGCAACAAAATCTGCCAATTGATCCTGAATATGAAAGAATGTTAAAGTCCATTTGCCCACCAGAAGCACTTACAAATGGAACAGGAGTAGCCAACCCTGCGAATCTTGATGTCCTAACACCAAACAAATTGGATAATAGATACTACATGGATTTGAAGAGTAAGAAGGGGCTGTTAGTTTCTGATCAAACATTGATGAGTAATCCTAAAACTGCGAAAATGGTGAACTTCAACGCGAGATATGGCCGTGTGTGGGGTAAGAAATTTGCAGATGCAATGGTGCATATGGGTACCTTGGATGTCCTCACAGGGTGGAAGGGTGAAATCAGGAAGAACTGCCATTTTGTTAACTAATTTGTCATGCTTTTGCCTTTTCAGTTTTGTTAAAGTTTCCAGTACTATTTCAGCTTTCTTGTTATTGTTATTGTTATTGTGAATTGCAGACATCCTATTTAAGTGAGGATGGTTCAATCTTTGTTCAATTTTTACAGATGAATCTTCTTAATAGAACTTATTCTTGATTGGTAGTTTCTTTGTGAAAGAAAAAATTTACTTTTACTTCTTTTCGCACTTTGAAGGGGAGCCTTGGCGTAAAGTTACTGCCATGTGACCGGGAGGTCACAGGTTCAAGCTATGGAAACAACCTCTTGCAGAAATGCAGGGTAAGGCTGTGTAGAATAGACACTTGTGGTCCAGCCCTTCCCCCGACTCCGCACATAGAGGGAGCGTAGTGCACCGAGCTGCACTTTCTTTTCGCACTTAAGAATAGGGGTGTGCATTCGAATCGGTTTATCGATTTATCGATTTCGATTTCGAAATTTTCCTTATCGAGTTATCGATTTCGATTTTGTCCTCTTCGGTTTATCGGTTTATAGATAAACCGATAAGAAATACTAAGAACAAAAAATTAATTTTTTTTTTAATTTTTTTTTTTTTTTTTTACTCTTATTCTATAATACCCTTTCCTTTACCGTAAGTCCCTAACCCTATTATTTCATATACCACATTTAAGGAATGATCATACTTAAAGCTCAAGGAATGAAGTTCAAATTAATGAAAAATAGAATTAGCCGTGATGATGTATTTTTTTTATACCGTTGGAGTGCTGGTGGCATACATTTGATCCCTTACATTAGTTTCGTTGCATATGCTTGTTGACACAATTTTTATGTTATAAACAGTGTTCGTCTTATTTTAGCTTCTTTTGGTCCATATTTGTTAGGCGTGTTTATAGCGATATACTTTCCGTGGAATCCCGCAAATTTTCTTATTGGTGTAATCGATAACCGAATCGATAAGCCCCAAAAATCGATAAATCGAAACCTTATTGAAACGATAACGATAAGTATATGTACAAATCGATAGTCGATAAGTAATTATCGATAAGGGTCAAAATCGAATCGATAAATCGAATGTACACCCCTAACTTTGTCTTCTTCTTCTTCTCCTTCCCCAACTCCCCTCTTCCTTCTTCCTATTCCAATAAATTATGGGCACATAATTAAAAATAAAAAATAATGAATATGTGATGTGGAAAATTAAGACTTCATTGCTTATCATTTATTGGAATTCAGTTGGTAATTTTAATTGAGCGTATGTTGTCTATCCTTAATGATTTAGAATGATTTAGCTGGAGAAATTTAAAGACACTATTGTCGAATTTTGTTTTTTTAGCTTGAAAAAAGAGCTTGAAGAAGACAAAAGTAGGTCTATTGATCATTGAAGACTTAGGTTGAATATAACTATTTAAAAATAAAATTGGTATTAGAAAGTTGGATATCAAATTTAGAGTTGATTTAGATCAAGTTTGAAACAAAAATATGTTAATGAATTTCGATACAACATATTATGGTGATCACGAGAAATTTTGACCAAATCTGATGAATCACCAGGATTTTAGCTACAAATATTAAGAAAATCCTGGCGATCCACCAAGATATGATAAGAATTTTTTGATGATTACCATAATTTATTGTTAAGGCAGGCCTTACCCAATATCAATACAAAATCCTAGCGACCGCCAAGATTTTGCTTAAAAATTCTGATGAATCATCATAAGACTTGCTCAGAATCAAATATAAAATCTTGGCAACCGCCGGGACAGTGCTTCAAAATTGTGATATAGAGGCTATTTTTCCAACGCTTTTCTTAACACGATCAAATTTTGAACGGTGACACCAAATGATCATATTTGTGCAAATCACCCATTTGCAAACGTAAGTTTAATTGGGCTTACAGGGCTCCGACTTTCTCAAAGTCTAAGTTAAGACTAAGCCCATTGTATATAATCTGATGGGATTTCTTCCCCACCAGAAACATGTAAAAATAGCACGGACTAGTCAGTTTTCAGATCGGTCATTCAAAAATAGCCAGCGTTTGCAAAGTCAATGAAAATAAGCCACTATTTTGCGGCAACACGGAAAGTTCCAGCATAATATAATGGAGATCGGTGCACCTATGTATAAACTTCCAGCATATTATACTGGAACTCCAACACGCGGAAAGTTCCAGTATATTATGCTGGACCGGTATATTATACTGGAACTCCAATATATTATACTGGAACTCCAGTATATTATACTGGAGTATTTTTCCGGATTTTGAACAGTATTTTTGTTCAGATTTATCTTTACATGAAAAGTGACTAAACTTCGATTATTTTTGAAACTATGGCTATTTTTGAATGATCACTTGTAAATCTGGCTATTTTTGAATTTCTTCCCCAGAAACATGTGTCGTATCAACTTTCGAACAAGAATCTGAAAACATTAGATTGCAAATAGAAGCCTTAGAAGGTAAAATTCCTATATGGATCAAGCTCAAATGGGCTGGGTGATCAGACCTTACATAAACACATCCAAAAAACCAGAAGCTTCTAGGAGATTGAAGAAGAAAAAACTGCAATTCTCAATTGCACTACCCTTTCATCTGTCACCAACAGTGAGTTCCAAATTTTGGTAGAAGTTGCTACTAAAATAAATGGACGTGAGAACTATGAACTACCTAATTATTTGACATAGTTGCTGCTGATTCAATTGACGGTGGTTTGTAATTCTTTTTGGGCAAGCCTTAGCAGTTGCGAGTTCAAGGGTGGGGTAGATGGTTGGTGTGTTTTTAACATTTAGAACAATTAGTTTATCCATTATCCTGATGTCCGTCCAACAAAATTGAATTTGAATTTTCCGCCACCATTGTATATAGAGGCGGAGTCAGGATTTAAACTCTATGAGTTCAACCTTTAAGGTTCTTAGTACTAAACTCATTATATCCTTAAAGTTATGGGTTCATATCTATAATTTATTGCAATTTCAGTGAATTTTTGCACATAAATTTGTGTTCTGTATCAAAAATTGTGGATTCAATTGAACCCATTACTATTGGGCTACATCCGCCCCTGATTGTATACGTGCCTAATGTATGTGACTTCTGAACAATCATAGTATTGTATGAGGTAAAATTGATAAATGACAAGTGGATGCTCGTATGATTGACACGTGGCAGTGAAGTCAAATAAGATATGAGTCAGTAAATAGATGGCACTGGTTAGAAACACATGACCGGTGCTGAGTGAGTTTTGAAGACACTGGAACCGGAGATGAGAAATCTGAAGGGAGGATCTCGGTTGGAAATAACAACATCCAATGAGCAATTATTACAAAGAATCTTTGCGTTTGTAATCAACCGTTATACAGCCACCAAGAGGAGTTTTATTCATATTAAAGAAGAGCTTAATTCAAGGATCTTGTCTCCCTGAATTGAGTTATAAATAGAAGAATTTGTATTCACTATGGACACAAAACATCTGTATGCAAAAAATGCAAAACCTGCTCTTATTCTATTAACAATATCCTCTCTTTTTGTCCTACATATTGTTCCTATTACTACTTTCGAAAAAGCTCATTCCACAACCAGGCTTATATTTTCGTTAAGTCTATTTAATCAATTTATTTTTATTTTTAGTTATTTTATATTTTTGGATCAAATTAATTCACGTATCTTTAAATTACGTTACAAATTTAACTTTATCGTTTTATGGATAAATAAGTATTACTGTATAGAACGTCTGGCTCATAGCCTCTTTAAGACAACTCATGTGGGCACCTAAATGATGTCTATTTCTACGCCAAGTATATTGCACATATATTGTAGGGGGTGCTACCACTTTCCTAATATGCCAAATCTTAACATGTTACACATGAGCTTTTTGCAGCATGACAATTGCGATAAACATCCAAGGTTGGATGCATAACATTTGTTATAGAGATCAATAATTGACACTGAAAATTAGGTGTGTCAAATCTTGTGTTTTGAGCCTGTCATTGTATTTCGATAAATATTATTTAAGCTTTTAACTACAAACGTGGTCCTGAGTCTTATGATAATTATATGTTCGCTTCGTAGTCTTCTCGGCGTGTGTACATAATTTGACTTGCATTACCAAAAAAAATGTGCGTGTTTTATACATATACTTGTGATAATACCATGTTTAGTGCGCGTATTTTGTACAATGGTTAGTGAACTACATCAAATAGATTTGAGAGAAAACTATGAAGAAGTCTCACAATCTCTTTAATATGGCTTGGTCAACTCCCATGATTGAACTAATTTTTGAGGTTGAGTTAGACCCAAAGTTTGTTACTTTGATAGAAACATATTAGCCAATGAGTCACATGTTAGACAAACTCTTTGGCAAACGCCTATTGATTTTGTAATCTTTGTATATCACAAACTTTTTTGCAAGTTCCAATTTAAAAGGTTGAAATTGACCGTTCGAAAACAAAAAATTGCCGAACTAAAAAAAGTTTTCCTTTCAATTTTATTTTGAGTAGCATAAAACAACCAAAGAGTTCAATTATGGGTGAATGACACAAGTTATCTATAAAAATAAAATTATTTACTTTTACCTACCCATTTATATTTCTACACCATAAAACCAATTACATTTTCTACCCATAGTAGTTTTTGTTGGGAATTCTCTCTTTTTTCTCCAATTCTTTTTTATTTCTATGCTTCTTTTCTTTTTTCCTTTTTTTTCTTTCTTTTCTCCTTTTCTTTTTTTCTCGTTTTCTTCTTCTTCTTTTTTCTCTCTTTTTCTATTCATTTATTTTTGCCCAAATCGTATTATTGTTATTTTTACCGTAACTTATTTCACACTCAATTTTGACTCCTTCTATATTAATTTTTTCCTTTTTATTTATTTTATTTTTCTTGTTCCTTTTCTGATTCCATTAAACTCCTTTTTTCTTTCTTTTTTCCTTTATTTCTTGTTCCTTTCTAATTTTATTTAACTTTTTTTTTATATTCTTTTCCTCTCCATAATCTAATTTCATGTACTGTTTTTACTATTTTTTTATACAATAAGAAAAAATAACTGATATAGTAAATATTTGTTAACCCTTTTTTTAATATAACTAGTATATACACCTTCTCTCTTTTTTAATTTTTTTAATTCAATTATTAAACTGAAATAATATCAGTTGTCACTTGATCTAGTTTACTGAATATCACACAGACTCCTGCTAAGCACC